TTTTTGAATATTTGAATTTAAGTAAACATTTATTCCAGTATTTGATTACGATTCACCATTTGCTACTATTAGTCTTAATAACTTATGCTTTCAGTAATTCAAACTGTTTTAAATGCCTAAATTTGCAGCTTTATGAAAATTTGTGGAAGAGTTGAAAATCTTTTTTGACATACACAAAGTTAAAGTCCCGCCATAAACTTCTTGCGCTCTGAAAAAAGTCAACAAAGTTAACAGATAAGAACTGCAAAGCAAGTAATAGCTTGAAAGTAATAATAGAATAACTCGAGAATTGAAAATAAAAATGACTTTTATTGCGCGCGTAAAAATTACACTTTGACTCTTCCACGCAGCTGCTTTGTTCTAATTTGCGTTGTCTTTTTAGCAAATTATTGTTTGCAGCTGCAAAACTGTCGTTTGAATAAACACAAATATGCGAGAATACAAATACATCTCTGTTATTATTAGATATCACTGAGGAACGTACTCTACAGGTCATAGGTTAAGGTCACAAGGGAATCAGCTTCCAAGCGGCTTATTATCTTTTTGCAACCTTATCATAAAAGATTTATCTGAACTGAGCAGCAATAAATATGAAAATTCATTCATCTTCTCTGTATTTTATTCTGCCATTAGCTAAAATACCGTGTTTATACTCTCAGAAAACTTAATTTCTTATTAAATTGCAATTTTATTTGATTAGCAGTTACTCAATATTCGTAATTAGACTTAATTGACGTAAAGGTTATAGATTAATCGATATTATATAATTTCCACTGAATATTATTTGAATTTTAATTTTGTAATTATTTAAGGTCAAAATTGTAGCACTGAACACAATTATTTAGCATAATTCTATGTAAATAAATTAATGTTTTAAGTACAATCCTTGAAAAAACTTTGTAATTATTGAAAAATATTTGTAATGTCAAAAAGTGATTTAAATAATTTTAGTAGTTTAACTTTTTAATTATTACATCAAATTTTTAGCATAATTTTCGGCATTAAATACAACCTCAGGCCTATTCAAACGATGATAATACATACGATAATACTTAAAATGATCATGATAATACTTATGATAATACTTTAAATGATTATGATAATAATGATGATAGTACTTAAAATGATTATGATAATACTTTTATCAATTATAGCCTACAATATGGAGCAAATTTTTAAATTGATTCTCGAATTGAAAGCTAAAATTATGCAGTGCTTTAAGAACTTATTTTTTAGCAATTAAATGTTTTTAACAACCAAAAATGCTTATTTTAATCATTGAAGTCATAAGGTTTCAAGCTTTATTTTTAATAGCATTCAATCAGAAATCGTAACGTTTTTTAAGGTTTCTTGTATTTCAGCGCTTTCAGTGCCACAACACGCATTTATCATACTTAAAAATGGATTAAATACTGGACAATCTAATCATTAAAATGCTTTTATTAATAGAAATAAGCATAGAAACTTTATTTCAACTTAGAATGGCAATTTTTTTTTTAATGTAAAATTTGTATTCAAATTTCATTTTGAAAACACGCGGGCAAATCCTTTGTTAATTTGTTAGAATCTGTCTTCTGAGCAAACAAATCTTCAATTCAATTTGTTGCAGATGATTTCAGATTTAAATTTAGAATAATATAGAATAATTGCAAATTCGTTAAATCTCAAAAAAGTAAGTTATAATATTTATTTTGAAGGCACCAACTGCTAATGCTATCATTATTTTTTCAAACTTTTTTTATTCTTTTTTTGCTTACTTATATATTTGCTTATTTTTTTTGCCTTAAGGTGTAGTTATTTTGTTCAAGTAAAATATATAAGCAAATAAATACGGAAAGAATAAAATTTTTCGCGCGTAAATTGACATCACTCGCGCTGGCGCTATATCCAAGCTTAGGCGCTAATTTTCTTCAATAACCGTTGTCTTTTATTTATTTAGTAGCAATGATTATTGCTGCCTCCATTGCCGTATTTCAGAATAATTTTCATTTATTTGTCTAGAAATGACATTTCTCGAGCAGCAAATCAAGAATAAGCAGTTAAATTCATCACACACACACACACACATTTTCTGCTAGATTTTATTTATTCTTTACGCAATGAAAATTATTCTATTCAATCGCAAATATTCATTTTATTGCCAATTTTTTGTCTCCTTCTGAAAGACTTAAAGTCTCTTCAAATCAATGCATAAAATCTTCACTTACACAAAGATATTACTGAAGGCAACTCGTATAGTACCAAAGCATTCATCTTTACAAAACATCTCTTCTTTTTTTGTTTTTGACAAAAGTTTACGTGATTCAAGTGAAAAATCACGTGACTGATTTATATTCAATCAAAATAAGTGATAATAAGTATTAGAAAAAATAATATTATCATTTTAAATGATAATTAAATACAAGCAATAAATCTGTCAAATTAGTCATCTGCAACATTTCTTACTCATTTTAAAATTCGTTTTTAGGAAAAAAGTATTTATGCGTGAATGTTTAATATAATATTCGTTAAATCGAGCGTTTTTTAATATTTACAATTCTAATTTTTGATTAAATTGCTAGACAGTGACAATATTTATTTCTCACTTCACTGTTCATATATTATTATAATTGTTATCTCAGCTAATTATTATTATTATTATATTAATATTGATTTAGCAGAATTGCATCACAAATGACAAATTTACAAGTAATAAAAGTATCATCCATCTTAATCTCACTATTTGCTGCCACCATCGATCACTTCACCATCTGACCACTTCTCATCAACGTGTCATCCACTTTGCATTGTAGCCACTCATCCATTTTCATTGCTACTACTGACATGAGCAAATAAGTAAATGTTCTGAAAAGTACTGTAAAATTTGTCTGCTTGAAATAATAGCAATCAATAACAATAATAATAATTATTATTATTATTATTATTGGCATAATGATAACAGCGATAATAGCAGTACTAGATATTGTTGCGACAGTATTTCTCCAAAAGTATGATGTAATTTATTTCATTTATGCTATTATTATTATTATTATTATTTATTACTAATCATTTATTACTAACATTACGATAGTCCTTCCTTCATCACTATTACCATTTTTTCAAATTAATACTGTTGTTATCTTAATCTAGATAACTATAATAATTTTGAAAACAAAAGTGTTAATATAACCTGCTATAGTCACTTTCCATAAATTAATTTTGATTTAACTTTAATTAATAGTATTTAAATTTATTTAACATTGCCTTCGAAATTCATTAGTATTTTTTTGAGTAACTGTAAAAAAAATTAATTCCAAAGTGCAATGAAAATAATTACCAAAACTTAAGTCATACTTCGTTACATAATAATAATATATGAATAACAAAATACAACTAAAGAGGGTACAGCTGACTTAGCATATACTTATCTTTATAATTTGATGTAAGTATAAGCCGCTTAAAAAGCCATTCCATTTTAACTGGCCACTTTTACATTTCCGATCATCTGCTGGGTACTGTACCAGCATATTCTCAAGTATTGTTGATACTCTCGAATGAAACTGCCTGAGATATATATGTATGCATATATATATATATATCAATGGCAAAATTTGCATGTAACCTTTGATTCGGATTTTGCTTGCCAAGATTGATTCTTTAGACTACAATGAGATTTAGTGCTAATAACAAGCCACTAACCATAATATTACATCCGTTTCATCGTAGCTCAACAACTAATCGCTTAGCAAGATATCTGCTTCTGATTAGAGCATACTTAATAAATGACAAGATCGTTTTCGCTATGCATTATTTCATCGCTTGTAGGGCACATTTGTATTTAAGCTTTTTAAATTTCTGCTAATATTATCAGATTTACATTTACATCAATCCCTCTAACATGCGCAAATGTTTTCTTTCTGTCAAGATGCCTTTTTACAAAAATTAAATATATCCACTGAAGTGCAGCTTTATTAGCATATGCAAATTAATCTTTCTGTTCGATTCTCAGCTAGCATTTTTCATTT